CTTAGTGATTTAGAGGGTTCCCAAGAATATGGTGATTTTCTAGGTAAAGAAAAATGCGCGAGTGTAGGTATCCTTTATGGTGATGTTCAAGGCTCCGCCCAGGTTTTTTTGCGATAATTTCAAGTTATTCACCGAGTAGAACTGTTTTCCCTACTTTCGCGATGTTTCTAGATCAACGAAATATTTATCTAATAAATACCTTTGCTTAAGAACTTAAATGGCTTATCACCTTTATATGTGCCGAGACAACAGGCGGTTCCTCTTTTTTTTTTTTTTTTCTTGGTCTGGATTAGTAAATACCCGGACTCCCCTGGAGGCTATTTCGATCGAAACAAAATTATTTAAATAGTCTTAGTAAATTTTTCCATGCGTTTGGCCACAATTCAAACGACCCTTTGAACTGTCAGCTGAAATCTTCATAGATCTATATTAATTTCACTGAATAATGGATTTCAATAAAATACCACAAATTTTGTCTTTGGTCACGAGAAGTTTAAATTCACAAAACAGAAGATTCTTCTGCTTTTTTTTTTTTTTTACTTTTGATGGTTTATTTGTCTTTCTTTTTATAGCGGAAGTAGAATTCAGCCACTTGACCGCTTAGTAAATATATAGCTATTTTCGCTTTCCAAAGTCTGAAGACTGTGTTTGATTAACGGTTAAACCCTTTGGGACGTTCTTAAAATAGTGCGAGCGGACTGTTTCCATTCATAAGCCTTGTCAGGAAATTCTCCCTTACTGGGGGAAACTGTTGCGTGATTCGCTTAAACTATCTAATTTTGGTGACTTAAAGTAAAGTATACTTGCCCTTTTCCAATTCAAATCATAGAACCCCTTCGTGGGGTGGGTCAAATCAGACTGGTTCGAAAGTGGTTAAATGCCCATACAGAGATGCCAACCTCTTGAGATTTATAAATCTCACTAGCCCCAATAAATTACCTGTTTTCAGAAGATTTCAGGTTGTCATTCGCTTAACCGCTTGAAATATCGCCAATGAATCGAAAGCGCGGTCGATACTTTTCATCCGTACTTAAGAGTTTGTCATTCACGATTGTTTGATAACGAACAGGATTTAATATATAGATTTAGCCAAGCCTAAAAGCGGAGCTCTTGTTAGTTCATTTTCCAGCCCCTCGTTATACTGAATAAAAACTGTGATTAAAGTCTTCAGCACTGGCTGTAGAAGAGTTTCTTCAATGGATTGAAAGACCAGTTCTGGGGGTGGGGAGGTGGGGAAGAATTTACGAAGTCTGGATCTGGGGACGATGTTCTCACAACTACACACATGCTAGTCAGCGGTATCTTCAGACAGCTTACGACTAGATAGGGAGTGTTTTCTTCTTCAGATGAAGTGCATGCTGTCAGAATCAGTTGAAATTATATCCTATTGTGTGTGACTTATGATTTCGGTTTGGGAAAATGAGCCAAAATTGAAAGAAAAGACAGTAAACAACTTTGCGTTAAGACATTTAAGACATTACTGGTGGATTGAGGTGTATACGCGCAGTGAGCACGGTAAGTCAGTAAAACAGTACGCCAGAATCGTATTGGCTTCTCTTATTTCTTCTCTTGAAGTTGCCAGGTATGACTGCTTACCCCACCGTTTTTCCCCAACGTTTCAACCTCCTCTGTCTAGCGTAGAAATTGAAAAAAAAAAAGCAATTTTCAACTCGTGTTTGAAACGGTGTAATTTTTGAAAACTTTTTCGCTTTGGCTACTCTTGTTTCATGTTTCATGATTGTCCTTTGGCGGGAAATAAACGACGTCTTTTTGAGATTTTTTCTGTTATTTAATTCGATGACCTCTGCTGTAACAGCATGTAATGTGGGTGTCCTTTAAAAAACTTGAGCTGATTCCTGGATTTCATTTTTACATCACAGAAATCAATTCCAAACATCAATCGAGTTTTCTCTTAAGTTAAGTTGATGTTGTTATTGGCTATATTAAATAGATTGAAAATTTTTAGATGGTATTTTCTTATGTTTGCAAATAATAGAATTTACTGGGAGATGGAGTTGTTACAACATGTTAACATGAAAGGCAACAATATATTATATTGATATGTAAAAAGTTTCCATCAGACTATCCACTGGCAAGTCTTTATGATATACTTCAACCCAACCATTTTCCTCAACATATAAACACTATTACAAAATAATTAATCAGGGAAATGGAGAACTTGTGACATATACACCATGTTTGAAATGCCATGTCCATAGTAAGCTAACAGGATTGAGGAGGATGTATGTAGGAATAGGCCCTCTTGTCTGTATCAATAATTTGCTAATCACTCTTGTTGGCAATGTTTTGATGAGGTTGGGCTGTCAGGGCAAAGGAACTGAGGATTTTAGTAGGCAGTGACTTTTTTTCAAACCTGGAAACTATCTGATCTCGAAGGCTATACTTGTGCCCAGGAACTCATTCTTATTCTGATAAACTAGTTTTAAGAAGGATACAATATTTTATAACAAAAATTTGATGCATAGTTTGTGCAAAAAACTTTAATTTGACTATACTTTTATAGCCAATACCAGTCCCTTCACACGGTAAAATTTTAGGAGGATCAGGAAAAAAATAATGTGCCATACATCTGCAAGATTCGACGTAATTATTTTAATTACAAGAACATTAAACGATACTAGGAGATCTAAAACTATTAAAAAGATAACAAAATTTGGTTGAAAAATTAGAATTCAGCACAGGCGGAATAAACAGAATTCTTAGAAAAAGAAATGTGTACTGATGAAAAAGCTTAGCAAACTTTTTTTACAACACCTGCCTGTACCTATATGGCATGTAGTAAAATCTTTTGAAGCAGTCATTATCCCAGTTTCATATATTGAAAACACATGCACGTGCAGATTTCCTGTAAACCTATAGTTTAAGCCTGTGATGACTTTGAAATTTTGATGCCCCCCTCAAAAGGAGAACATATAAATTTCATGTTTCTATATATTCAGTTTGGGTTGGTGAGGTAAAATTGAGTCAAACATTCAAGACGTAAAACGACAGGTTCAATAAATTTTTAAAACTAATTTTTAAGGTTAGTCTTCCTGGAACAATCACCTTTATGTAAAAATTAGACCACGTTTGTACTGATGATGCCCAACAGAACTATCTGTGGTAAGAGGACAGGCTTTCCTTTCTTCATTTAAAGAAATAATGTTATCATCTTTCCACAAGCTCAGTGGAAAGTGAGAGTGAATGAGACTGATAGTGACTATGTTATTTGAATAAATAACCAGAGCCAGGATAAAAAGTCAGACATGGTCTGCAAAACTCTCTTATTTTAATTTTTTAACCTATTAAGCTAAAGCTTTACATTCTTGCTTTGCGCTTATGTGGATGCCAATTATTGGTAATTTAACCCTCATGTATCAAAATACAAAAAAACGTTCTCTTCATCTATGTGCCCTAAACATTACAGGGGAGGAGGCAGGTCAAATTAAAATTACTTAAAAAAGAATATCCAAGCAGGTTACAGAAATGGTTCGCGAATTGTAAACTGTTAATCTGTTGACAAAATTTTCCTATATTATGGTGCAGATACAAATCTATCATTCATGATCGCCTATGAAATTCCGAGACTGAACCTCAACGAATTTAACAGAAAATATCCAGGAAGGTTACAGAAACAGACTCTCAAAAACTGCTCCAAAATTCGAAAACTGTAAACAACAATTATTTACGCTAAACACGTGCTTTCCAGCACGCTTGTGAGGTCAAATTGCCGGAACCCCGTTTAATTGCTTGATCACAGCTCGGACGCCTCTTGCAAAATGGGATGACTACCAATTTTAGAGATAAATTCTTCAGTTTCCAGGATAAGGAAAAAAAATATCGTATCGCAAGCATGTCTATCCTAAAGCCTCGAGATGTTGAGCGAAGAGAAAGTGGCTCCATGTTTTGTGAGACAAACCATTTCCTGAAGTTCGAACGAATCGAGTAGAAAGCATGAAAACAAAGCGCTGAAAAGTATGACAGCCAAACAATTAAATTCACTCATTCTGCTGTAAAACCAACTCCATTTTACGCGTGAGTTTGTTTGCACCACACATTTGCGGTTCGTAATTTGATTCTCAGATGTTTGACGGGTTCTCAAATGACGATATTGTCAAAATCAAATTACCGCGTCAGACTTAACGTAAACATGGACATCGCTGACTCAATCTCAATCTATTTCAATTTTGGGAAAGGCCAATACTTCGTTCTTAAGGTAAAACAACACCTCTTCGGCAAAGCATGAATTTTTCAAATGAATAGAATGAATCCTGCGGTAATTAGCTGAAGAGAAAAAAATGTAGAAACTTGCGCTCGCCGTTCGCCTTCATTTGAAAACTTTCTGGGCGAAACAACATACGTCATAATATCCACAAAATACGTCACGCTAAGTCTTAGCGTAAGAGAAAACCCAGATAAGACACAACTTACCTCCTCTTCTTTCGCGGATCCTTTGTAGTTCGCTTCTCTTTGTCGATGACCTCTTTCAGTCTGTTTTCAGGAGCGGCTTCGTATTTCCTTCTCGCGTTGTTCTTCGCTGGGTACTCGCCTTTTTACTTATGCTCTTTATTGTTCTCTTTCTTGTTCCTCTTGCCGTATTCTGCCTATTTTTGCGTCCTTTCTAACTTTCTTGCGCGATTTTCTGGACTCGCTTCGATCGCGCCATTACCTTCTCCCTCGCCCTTCCATTACGTAATGGCTAAGAGAGTGCCCGTGGTACAGTTGGCCGCGCATGCTAAAAGTAGCACCTTGTACGGTCGTACGATCTTACGGTCGTACAACCAAATTTTTCCGGCTTGATGGTTTACTACTTTTTCGTATAATTATGGGGCTACGCTGGAGCTCCGCTATGAAAATTCTGCTTACTACCAAATGATTCATACAGTATTAAAAGAGTAAAAACCCATTGTATCATGAAAGCTGTTTTTCTAGGATACCGTGTCTCACTTAGAGCTATAATGACGCACTTTACTCTTAAATTCGCCTGAAGAAACTGTTGATTAGAGATCTTGCAAATGGCTGTTCCACAGCATAGCACCCCTAAAAGAAACACTCTCCTTCAAATAGCGGATCTGGGGTTGTGGAGCAGCCAATTTGTACGCAGAATTCCTTAGTTGATACGAAGTAATATCATTTCGGGATATAAATGAAGGTTGTAGATATTCAGGAGCCATGTTGTTCGCTAATCACTTCCAAAATAAACAATTACTGCACGCAAAAAAGCACCGTCACTACCTGGCATATAATGAAAACATTTATTCTCCTGGTTGATGTGAGTCTTATATTGCTGATTTCCTCCCAGGCAACTAATCAAAACACGAGAAATATCACTATTTACGTATGCGCTGTGTACTTATCCCTAATAAAGTTTTAAAAAAAGTCCACTGGTCTAATTTTAATTTCAGTTGATGAAGGAGCGCTGCCCTCGGCACTGGAAGGAACTGATTTTGCCTAGTAAATATCGGCAGAGGTTTTACTTCCACGACGCGGATAAATAACATTTAGATTTGATCAAACAGCACAAGTACTACCGTTGTCGTACCACCAGCCTCCACCTCTTTTCTGTGCACAATCAACAGGATCTCTATCCAGGTACCAAAAACGAGATTCTTGTGGACACCGAGAGAATTAATGGAAACAGTGGCATCTGTTTCAAAACAGAACAAAAGAAATTCGCATAATTCTAGGATCAGTATAACGCCTTTGTAGCTCTAACTTGTTGTTTTCCGCAAAAAAAATAAAATAAAATAAAGTCAAAAGATAAGGTTAGTAAGAACTGAGTTCATTAAGTGGCACTAGGACCTAGCTCCCGACCGAGTAAGAAACAATCAGATGTTCAGATTTACCTCAGGACTACCCTGCTTGCATGCCCAAAAATTCAAGTATTAACCCGCGGCTTTTTATAGCTGATTGCATATGAGAAGTTTTGTAATGCATTGAAGATGTATATGTATAATCAATCTCATAACTGTTTTTTGAAAACCTCTTAATTTTATAGCCTCAAAATTGTGTGTACATATACTTGCCATAAAACTGAGAATTTAGTTTGATTCTTGTTGATTTGAGATTTTCTTTGGGCAGAAAATATTGTTTCTTCTCACCTGCTTTACAGTGCTGACAACATTTCAATGAACTTCTTAAAACATCCAAGTCCATAATTCTACTTCCATGAGGAAAGCAATTTTCCTTCTTTGTTTGTTTCTCGTTAAAATTCAAAACTTGTACGTTTTAATGGTAATTATATTATTAGGTTTTAACTGTAACCAAATTTTTGGAATTTTAAAATGAAATGTCAAAATATTCGGGTATAATCTTGTTGACAAAATAATTTGCTATGAACTACTTGTGGTAAAAGCAAATTGAGAACAATTTCAGAGCAAATAAAGTCTTGATGAAGCACTTGTCTTAAAACTTCCTTCTAAGCAATGTGATTTGGATTGAGGTATTCTTTCTAACACGATTTTTCAACAAACTGCTAACGTGTGTCCGTCACATTCTTCGAAGGTGACCCAAAAAGGTTAGGCTTTTCATTCTTATTCATTCGTATTCAGCAAGTTTGACTGCAGATAAGACCAGATAACACTTACTATACACGCTTCTTTGAAGGCTCAATGCTATAACATAGAAAATAATAACGGCTTCAATCAAAATGAGAGCAAATGCCGTGATCGAAATACGGATAAATTGCCATAGAGCGGGAACACTCGTAATAAACTTCACAAAACCAAATTTGACAGACAGGAAACGAAAAGGGTTTTTTTTCCCCCTAGGTATTCCGATGTTCTAGTTATCAGCATTGAGAAGAAGGTAAGGAAAATGTTTTAACGAACCTCTTTTTTTCTGCGTCTACTCTGCCGGCCCAAATTAGAATATGTTAATAATAATAATTTATTTTACTTTTTCAAAGCGAACAATTGAATGAGGAGTTGCGAGGTTTCTTTCCAAACAGTTCAAAGATGAATGTGTAAATCACGCAATCGACAAAGAACTGTTAAGGAAAGGTCAAGAAATGTCGTTTACGGAAATAACTTCATTATTGATGGTTTTAACATTTGTAGGCACCATATATGTGAAAGTTAGTTCAAGAATTGACGAATGAATTGATGAAAATGTGAATTGAACTGAAGTATTAATTTTGCTATGATCCTGAAGGAAGCTACGAAGTTGTTTAGCTGTCTTATTCATTAAACCTTAAGTCAGTTTTTAGCGAGCCATCTTAAATGAAGATAACACCACTCTTGAGGATTAGAGCGATTAAGTGAAAGATATCTTCGGATGAGTGAGTAAGTTCATCAAATACTTTGGCACACTTTCTTAACGGTATTTATTGTATATGAATTGATTTGTTAATGATATGATTGCTTGGCCCTCTAACTGCAATTCTATTATATTGCACTCTAGACTCTAATTTGCCATAGTATGACATACTAAGTCACAAGATATGCGCTTTCGTTTTATCAAAGCTACTAGTCAAATTAAGAGGATTAAGGTTCTTTTTTAAACAACTATAAGGACGACAACTCTCTGCAATCAAAACACAAGATCCTCAAAGAGTTCAAGGTATCCGCTCGGTGGTGGATACCTTGGTAATTCAATTGTAAATCATTTCAATCGACAGTTGTATTCTAGAATTTTGCGAATTGAATAAATCGGTTAAAAAATCGGTGGCCTTGTTTTTATTTTATTTTACTTTTTTTTTGTTCGTTTGCTTTGTTTTGTTTTTTTGCGGGAGTGAATGAAATAGACCACCAGTTCTGTGTCCGATTTGGCAATCTAATCAAATTACTGATCCTAAATTCTCTCTCATTAACAAAAAAAACAAAAAATAAAAGACTGGTTCAGATGTGAGTTCACGCTAATCACAACTACGTTAGGGTTTTATGTTCTTGAAAAAGTCGTGCCACAACAGAAAGAAATGTCAGTTACCTTCGATATCTCGAGATCACAGGAAAAAATTTCCCTCACCTAAGACTTTTAGCTACAAAAGCTCATTTATCAAATGTGTTTGCCGTTCGAGCAGCCATAATATCGGTTTCCTCCATTTCCCTACCACACAACATAAACATTTGTAGAATATTTGCAGAACGCTAATGAATATGCCTGAAGTTTTAAGCGTCGAAACGAATACTTTTCTTGTAATTCATACACTCGGAGCAAGGGATTCAGCTCAGGATTTTAAAATGAATCGGCCTTCGATCACTTCCTTCGCTGAGTTCCACAAAACTTCCTATGACCTCTGCGATACACCGGTACATACACCCATACATACATACACCAGTGATACACCTGCACCGGTATCGCAGAGGTCATGGGTTCAAATCCCGTACAGGCCTGAATTTTTTTCAGGCCTTATTTTCACTACTGCCTAAGTAGTGCACATTACCGCGAGGATCACTTTCATTCACCTCTTTATCCGCAGTTCAAATATATGACTTTCATATATTCTTAACCATTTAAAGCTTTATTACCTAGCTAAAACCTTCACTTTGTAATTTCCTTCTGATAAGAACTCAAAGAACTTATCATATTCGAGCGTGTGGAGAAAAACATACCACTATTCGCTTTTACGCTTTTCGTTTGGTTCAACAAATTCTCTTACTCCCCTGGAACCTTTCTCGATTTGAAAAAAAAAAAATACTCAATTAACAATCGGTTCATACGTCAGCGTGCGTTCATCGAGATATGAAGCACTTGCGAATTTTGGAGAGCACGAAAGATACGTAAGGGTTGCTCTTCAAATTTCCCAAGCGGTTCATATCTCAATGAACGTACACCTGACGTAAGAACCAATTGTTTTATAACATTTTCAACCCGGTGGAAAAGTTTTTTCTCGAGTGATTTGTTTGTTGACGTCATGAGCGTGCACAATAGGAATACGAAGCGCGCTCACACTATTGAATTTGATTAGACGGATTTACTAGCCATGTTATAAATATTTTGGCCACAATTCAACTGACCTTTTGAATATAAGTATCATGTCTTTGTTTCAAGTGCTAAATTCTATTTACAATGGAATCTATAGTTTTACATTTTTTTACATATGTCGATAACAATAAAATTTTAAATATAAACATATTACTAATGTGTTTGCTCAAGAAAAAAACAAACAAATTTTTTTTCTAAAACTGTTCACTTTGATTCAAATAGGTCAGATTTATCTAGAATATTTATCTAAAATATAGAAATAAAGAATTAAAGGCTGATATTGAGAAATGTTAAAATTGGCGATCAAAAGAGTTAGGAGATGGCCCCTTCGATAACATACACGACAATATCATTGAAGATATCTTTTCTTGACGGCAAAAAGCTATTTTTGAGTAAAATGCACCCCAAAACGGACTGCTGACACCTTAACCATCCTTTAGCTGTGGTCACTACGCACTTTTGATGGACTTAAATGATGGGCTTAAATGAAATACCAGAAAATATGTACTTGGCTTCACACTTAATTTCACAAAGACCACCCGATATGATACAGAAGATCATTTTTCGATTATTTATCATTATTGCAATTATTACTATTACCATATTTTGATCATACCGTGTGATCGTTGCCGGTGAACTTTAGCCATGTGAAGTCAATTCAAGTATTCAAGTCAATTTCTAGTTTTCCAGTCACATACTTCTTGAAACAGTTTTTGACAGAGACCGGCGAAGTTCCATGACAACATTTATGGGCCAATACTAGCAAATCTGTAACTTGTAGAGGTGTTATACCAGAAGGAATACATCAACTACTAGTCATTATAGGGGAGCTCAGAGCGCGCAGCGTAGCCCCATAACTTTAGGAAATAGTAGCAACCCATCAAGCCGAAAAAATTTTAACGTGCAACCATAAGACCGACCGTACAAGGTGCTACTTTTAGTATACGCGGCTAACCGCATTGAGAGCACTATCTTAGCCATTACGTAATGAAAGGGCGAGGGAGAAGGTAATGCGCAGGCGGGATTGCGTGGGTAACTTGGATATCCCATTAGTGTGTTCAGGAGACAGCGGTAGATGCCCATAGCCGAGGGCCAAGGTTTGATGCAGCGTACCGCGAGCACACGGTCAGGCATTACACGAGGGCTTCACGCGGGCTAGTAGATGTGAAGCAAATAATTTGCAACCCTCAATTTGAGTGGGAAATCAAACTATTGAGGTTGTAGTTGAACATGAATTCCCAGGTTTTTGCAATTCCTAATCAGGTTGCGAAGCAACAGTACCGGCATAGGCAAAGCTTTGTCAACTGGAGAAACTTTTTCAAGTTCTAGGAGAAGGGGTTCGAGTGAAAAAAGGCTGGAAAGAAAGAGACAGTGCGACCAAAGAAAGCAAGAAGTAAAGGGCCTTGAGTCGAAAAAAACGCGCAAGAAGGGGAGAAAGGTCGCTAAAATAGGCAGAATACGGCGAGAGGGACGCGAAAAAGAACAATAAAAGGCATACTGCAGTCACATTCCCTTACGTAAAGCCAAGGTTAGAAAAAATTCACTACCTTGGATGAACAGTGAGATCCGGAAAGAGATGAATAAGAGATATAAACTTCTGAAAGCCTGTGATGGCACACCCGCTACTAATAAACTCTGGGTTGATTACAAATCCTCTAGGAACAAAGTATCTAAGATGCTACGACGTGCTGAAGCAAGCTGCTCGAAAGCCAGATCTGCAACATAATTGATACCCATCTGAACAGCTGTGGCATAAAAAGCTGTAAACAGTGGGGGTTTAGCAAGGGACTATCGACTGAAGGAATGCTTACCTCTATGACTGAAGGATGGAAGACAGCAATTGACAATGGTCTGACAGTTGGAGCAGTCTTTATTGACTTCCAGAAAGCTTTTGACACTGTCCCCCATTATATTTTATCGCATAAACTACACGCCATTGGAATATCAGGATCTCTTCATGAATGGCTAATGAGCTATCTTACTGATAGATGTCAATTTGCTGAAGTTAATAATTGCAAGTCGGTCACTGACTATGTGCGATATGGAGTCCCTCAAGGCTCGCTTCTTGGCCCCGGCTCTACACCATATATGTTAATGATCTCCCTGACCACATCGACTCGGGAGATCTATACATGTATGCAGATGACACTACAGTTTACTGTATTGGACCAAATGTTGACCAGGTTATGTTGTCACTAAATAAATCATTGGAGCAAGTTCTCCTGTGGAGCATTAAGAATCAGCTAACCATCCACCCAATTAAAACTGAAGCAATGATACTAAGTAAAACC